TAAAACGCCTCCTAACACAAAAGCCTACATTGTGTTCTTTTATTCTCTCTCTGCCACTCCATCTCTCTTCCTTTATCTGTATCTCACTTTCTCTTTGTGTTTATTGTATTTCACTGCAAGTAGAACAGCCTCATGAATTGGCACGTCCGTTCTGTAGAAAAAGCACACTGCCTCAAACTGAAAGCCTCAAGTGTGAGACATCCAATTTGTGCATCACGGTGGCCCTCGAGGCTCTGTTAGACATCCAGAGCACTGTTTTTAACTCTGTGGGTGAAAACAGTGATGTGCTTTGTGGTTAAACTGCATTGTCTGACCAAAGGTGGACAATATGTTATTATTACTATGATAAATATTGATGACATGATGATAAATTCCATTACAGTATGTGTGGGTGTTGTTAGTACTTAGTACACTCATCAACTGCACGTTTCATAAAAATATTATTTAGACCAATTTTAAAGAGCCTGCAAACAAAAATAGCCTGTGTGTAGTGACTAGGGCCCCACCGATATATGGTCGGCCTCTAATATCGGCCAGAATTGACAACCAACGATTTTATCTACTACAAAAATAATGAAAAATAATAAAAATAAGAAGCAATTAACAGAAAGTAAAACCACAAAATATTATAGGTAACCCCAACCACTGTGCTACAATATTTATATTATTTAGGAGTGTGAATTTCTGTTGTTCATTGGAGTTTGAGAAGTTGACATTTGAGAATTGACAGTCTTATTAGCCACTTAAACGCGGTTTAAAACTGCGTTATATAAGATTTTTTTGTTGAAGTTGAAAGAAGTAGCATTACTGCATCAGGAGAATAAAACACGCTAAAATATGGTGTGGATATAAATATAAAATCCACATGAAAACAATGGAGATATGCTGACAGTAATAGATAATTCACTCACATCCTCAGAAGACACGTCTCTCACCAAGTTTTGACTGGGTTCTCCTGGAGAACTCTTTAAAAATGTTCACCATAATGAGATTCATCCAGTCGGGGAGCGCTCCGAAGCCCATGTTACAAAATGTTCTTCCTCATGATGTGTGCAATTACACATTTCCACCAGAGAGGTCTCCAAATCACCAAATCGTACATAGTGCAGCTTTAACTAAAACTACTGGAGTATAAAATGAAAATTTAAAATGTAATTCTAAAGTGACATCGGCTGATGTTATTAATGATAAATTATCAGTATTTTTAGCCCTTTAAAATCAGCCACAGAATTTTCATATTGGTTTCACCGTTACAGTAACTGCATAAATAGACTGCATAGTAACAGGTAGTTGATTGGGTGTCAGTCCATTTAGCTGTTTTCTTATTTTGTTTATTTATTTTTTGCCAGTTGTTTGAATTTCTGCTCTTCTTAAAATTTTTGTAAATACTGAATTAAATTCACTCATTTTTAAATGTGGCGTTTCTGTTCAGCTGGTGCATTTTCTTGCTTGCAAACCTCCAAAAAATGAAATATCATCATACATTTTGTGCATCTTTTTTAATTATCGTCCACATTTTTGTGGATCTTTCTGCCAAATTGGTTAAAAGTCAGAGTTGAAAACAGAGTTAGACTGAAATCCCTTTGCTTTGATTGACTCTAAGTTTATTTTACTTAAAAAGGAACATTTCACTTCCTCACTACCAAAAACGGTCGTAACACTACCAAATATTTGCCAAATGTTTCAGATGTGACAGTTTTGCTGGTTACAATTTTAGATGATTTTGAGCAGAACTCAAAAAACACTAGCCAGTACCTAACTAGCAAACACAACTTTCAACAGTTGTACACACATAAAATCATATTTTTTTCGCTACACAAAGAAGTTTACGAAAATCTGTGTTACGGTAGTGACAGTTCTTAATGTTCAACACTGATTTTCAGACTTTGGGCACATTTACTTCAAAACTGTGGCATCTAACTGCTCACCATGTGGCCATGAGGGACAGGAATGCAGTCTCACTTCTTGCTCTAAAATGCAGGGGACTGGCTAAAATAAGACTCCGCCTACAGACTAAAACTCTCTGTGTTTCAGTAGTGACATGAAAAAGACAGCAGTAGAGTAAAGTCTCAGTAAAGTCTTTTTTATTTAAAAGTTAAGCTCATTACAAATCTTAATCTTCCAACTTCACTTTAAAAGAAATTTTAAAAATCCTTCAAAAACAACATTGAAAAAAATGGAAAACAAAAAAATTACTATTATAAATTTAGCAGTTAGTGTTTGGGACAGACCACTCCCAATAGAAAGTACCACATAAATGATGATTTTCTATATATTTAGTTTTTGGCCTTGGGTTTAAATACATCATAACATAATCCTTGTAAATATCTGAGGCCTGAATAATGAATTGTTTTTTAAAATAGTTTTTACTGTGAGGCGTCAGTTTGAACTAATTCCGTAGAATGATCCGTATATCCTACAACTAAGGCTGAATGAGTTTAAGTCTAGTGAAAGCTGCTGACAGTAGAGAAATGAATCCCAGTGGAAAGACGTGGTGTGAACTCGACATATGGTGCTGCAGAGTAAGGCACAACTCCAGCAATTAGCCACTTATTTAGTTTTTGAACCACTAATTGAGATGTTTACAAACAGGATTGTCAATAGTGCAAGCTAACATATGCAGCCTGGAATATCAACACTTCATTTCCACACTGCAGTATTTCCATAGTGCTGGTGTTCCCTGTATTAGCAGTTTGCTTAAACTGTGAAAAGCACAGATACTCTTTGACCACTATAAATAGATTAAATTAAGTGATAATAGAGTAATCAAACACACAAGGAGGTGCAAATCCATTTAAACAAATTATAGAAACACCCTATTTCATATAATCAAGTGAAACAGTACAATTCAGTGTGATATATCCTTTGAAACGGCTCGTCTTATTACAGTAAGCTCAGTCTTATAGAGTAGTATTTACCTTATTCCTACGGCTCGTGATGCCTCGCTTGACTTAGGATAGAAATTCTAGCGAAACAAAACCAATATATTAAATGCTAATAACATCCTAGCATGATAGAATGAATGAATCGATAGAGTGAATGAATAAAAATGTCAATAATCTTTATTGTTGCAATACTTAAATTCTTGTGATCTGGTGTTTGTAATTGATCTGCCAACTGAGAAATCTGAACCTGCATAAGAGACACACACTCTCAGAATAAAAGGTACGAAACTGTCACTGGGGTGGGAACCTCAAGGGTGCGTCTGAGTACCTTTAGTCAGGGAACATAACTGTACCATAATCCACTGAAATGATATTTTCTAAGTTGTATTGACTCCACACACCCCGTCTCGTCTCCAGGCTTTTATTTTACTGTTCGGTTTTAAAATATTAGGTTATGAAAAGGTACAAATATGAACTTTTCACCTGGAAAAACGTCTTTAAGGTGCACAACTGAACTTTAAAACCACTGTTCTACCTTTGAGGGAACATTTACATTGTTTGTACTTTGATGAACCAAAAATGTACCTGCACAGTATCTTTGTTTCTAGCAGTGCCCTTTTTCTAACCTGGTTAAAGTATTTACTCTTTGTTAGATCTAAACAATGTATTGCATCGATTTTCTGAAAATAAGGTAACACACCTTCTACTGGAAACAAACTAAATCTGGGAAATTTTAGTGCACAATAATCAGCCATAATCTTGAAATACAGTGATCATGTGAAAAATACAGTTATTGTTATGCGTACATCATCGTAAATAAGAATGTGTTCTTCATCGCTTGCCTGATTTAGTTTAAGTTGAAGTAACGAAACAGCAAATAATAAAAATTCATTTTCTCTCTCTCTCTCTCTCTCTCTCTCTCTCTCTCTCTCTCTCTCTGTTCCACCATTCTTTTTATGCTTTACATTGCTCTCTCTTCATCTTTTCACTTTCCCCTCTCAACCTGTAGATGCAACGTGTAGATGGATTCTACACATTAAAAAAAAACTCATTTGACATTTCAGTAGAAAAAGTGACATTTTATTCACATTTTATGTTGAATTTGACAAAAAGTTATTGTTGTGCATACAGTCTTGTTTCTTGGAAAGAAAAAGCATCTTTTACATGGTTGCCATGTAAGAACATGGTTGTTTTTGTCATTTGTTGACATCGGAACAAACAGAAAAAAGTTGGAAGTGTGAACCTGTCAATACAAAATATGAATGCAATTTCTTTCCTAACTAATTCCTTGTTTAACTGCGTAATTAATTCTGTAATCACATAACTACATTTAAATAGTAATAGCAAACAGTTGTAACTTTCAAGTGTTTGTGTTGTATAAAGCCTTTCTTGCCCACTGCTGTTTTAGTTCAGTGAGAGGCTGAAAATAAACTGCTCCACAGTTGTCAGTTAGCTGTAATGAAGGGAATGGCCTGGTGTTTTGTTGTCCTATTGCCACACCTCGCCGATGCTAATCTCCTTAATGGGCTCTGACTCCAAAGTAATGCGTTCTCAACAGTCCTGCCCTCTGCAGTGCTGTGTAACACTCAGCGTGTGATTTTGCTCCGAGATTAGTGTCTGATAGCCTTTAATGAGGGCTGCATCAGTAATAAGGAAGAGGAGCACACGGCCAAGTGATGAAGGCCCGGCCCTGTCCAACCAATCGTGATAATCTCCTGCTAACTCTGCTGTGCTTATTTATGGATTATTGTTTTTTTGACCTGACATATTTTCACATATTTTGACATATTTCTCCTAATTAACCATATTTACATATTTTCTTGTTTCGCTTGCTGTGTTGCTATGTCTTTCATGTTATTGTTACCAAGCTTGTTTTTTGTTAATAATTATTTTAAGCCAAGAGCCATCATTGTAAATAAGAATGTGTTCTTAATGGCTTGCCTGATTTAGTTTAAGTTGAAGTAATTAAACAGCAAATAATAAAAATTCATTTTCTTTCTCTCTCTCTCTCTCTCTCTCTCTCTCTCTCTCTCTCTTTGTCTCTCTCTTTTTGTTCCTCCTTTCTTTTTGTGCTCGGCACTGTTCTCTCTCCATCTTTTCACTTTCTCCTCTCAGCCTGTAGATGCAACGGTCATGCCAACTCATGCCATGCAACGTCTGGCAAGTGCTACTGCACCACTAAAGGGGTCAAAGGAGACCAGTGCCAGCTGTGAGTATGTCTGCATTACCTGTCAGCACTTTTTCTATGACCTGGCAATCATCCAGAGCTTCAGATTTGATGTTTAAGTGCCTTTGAAGTATAAAGTACAGCATTTTTGGCTTTTTAATGGGGCTCAACTGAAACTTAAGGGACCAGTACCAGTTTTAAATAGCAGTTTAAAAAATGTATATTATATTGGTGTAATTACATGGCCAAAAAAAAGACTGCAGTAGTTTTGTTTAAACAGTGCACCACTGACAGATATGACTATGGATTTATTCCCTTGAATTTACTTCAGTTACTTATGTACGTATGTGCATAATATGACATTGGAGTACTCTATGCTGATGTGGTTTGTTTTGTGTATATATATATATATATATATATATATATATGACTATGCAAACATGCTGAAAACTAGCATAGATACTTAAATTTCCACATTCCACTGTAAAGTAGTTCCAGTTAGATCTTTTTGGCCTCCTTTCCACTGTGGAGCCAAATGCTTCCCAAAGCTGTATTGTGACGTTCTGCGCTGGTGCAGACTCGTGAGACTGGTTACGGTTTCTTTTTCCATCTTCTGTGCTGCTAAACCGGAACCAGGAAAAACTACAGAAAAGTACACAAAAGAGTCATACTGTGGTGTGTTTCATGTGCAGCTGGCCAACTACACTGACATTAGCATAGCCCAGCAGGGTAACAGCTCAAAGCACCACAGAACAAGTCTATTTTTTAATCTTTCTGTCACTTCAGGCTTCCTGCAGGCTACAGCTTAAAACACTACAGGTTCAATTTCTGTTTTCTGTCACTTTCAATTCAGCTTTCAGTGTCAGTCAGTCAACTTTGCTGTTATAAGTTTTTATTATCTATACTTTTGATTGCAGAGCACAGTCGAATCGAACCTGTACTGGTGTGTTTGGATCTTACTAACTAAGCAATCTAGACGAGGGGAGTGAGCTCGCGTTAACTTATGTAGGTAGCTACAGTTCCGAACACCACAGAACAGGTTTAATCTCAGCTTTCTGTCCCTCTAACACCAGCTGTTCAACTTTGCTTCCTCAGATTTCAGGAATTATTATCTAAACCTTTGTCAGTAAAGCTTTGGTTAGACAGAATAGGTGCTGTTCTGTGGTCAGTAAGCTACTAGCAGAGCATGCTATGTAAACTTGTTAATACCAACCAGCTACTCTCTCCTGGTTAGCAGCACTGTTTAACATTTAAAAAATTGGCTGCAGCTTTGATGTTTATTGAATGGTAGATTTAAAATTTCACACCGCGTTCTTTTATTTGGCATCAGTACAAGTGAACAGAACTTTTTTGATTGTTTTTGGGTTTTAAGTAATGCAGCAGGATGTGGTGGCACAATAGAGGCATGAATCTAGATCCAGCCAGCGAATAGCTACGTCGTTATGTCATCCCACCAAACAATTCTGTGGCCCTGAACACGGGTAACTGTCTGTGTTGAGAAAACCATGCTGAGACTGGTTTTTAAGCAATCCATGTTAGACCATGTCCATGTGGAAATGCCACTGGAACAGTTACTCTCTGTGCTCAGAACTGTTCAGACATGAGGTGAAAAAAAAGGCTTTTATTAACTTCTTAAAATGCGTCTCACTAATGCAGGTTGTGGGGATGCCCATTTACGTCATCTCTATGACGTTTGTGTAAGTAGATCAGCAAAGAACTGGATCAGACTATTATTAGCCGATACTCAATCCATTAAATTATGGATCGGCTCCAGTCTCAATCCTTTGGCTCGGATCATGACATCTCTACAATTGTCAGATTCCTAAAACTCAGACAGCAGAATGTTGTCAATGTCATGTTAATCTAAAAATCAAAATGTACCTTCTTTACATATTAAGCATGATTCATCATATCAAATAAGATATAAATTTTTGTTTTTCCATCAAAAAATAATAACGTTTGCTTTACCTCTAACATCTGATTTTTGATTATGTCACTGTGCACCAGCGAGCAGGAAAAAATAAAATTAACCAACAAACCTCCCACCACCACCACCTATCATCAAGCTCAGAAACCCTTCCTGCTACAGTTTCACACAGAAATACATCACAGTATAGAAGGAAAATGCGCTACAATTTCCCTGTCATGCTGACTGTAAATAATAGAAATATTGCAGTGCTGGAGTGGAGCATCAAAGAATTCCTAGCTGTTTCGTCTGTTTCTGTTAATCAAGTCTTATTTTTCATCATTAACAGAAGTGAACATGAGACTGTTACCTTAGCTGTCTGTGTAAAGACTGCCTTATGAGCGTGAGACCAAGCCAGAGGTGTCAGTTCATTAAAACAAGCTCCTAGGGTTGCCAAGTCCCGCAGCTATCTGAGAATCGGCCCTATCGTTGGGAAGTGACACCACAGCTCTCCGTGGCCAGGAGTCCAAGAGAGTGTAGTCCTGGCTCTCTGGGTTGGTACGATGGCCCTCATTCTCCCCCTCATCACCCAGCGTGATTGTAGCCAACGGATGCGTCTGTTAAGATGACATAACAGAATGGGCAGTTAGCGTTCTCCTTCTAGCACAACGAGCTGTCCAGTGACGCTGTGTCAGTGGCAGTTCAGAAAGATGTGGTCTGGCTTCACATGATTTAGAGAAAGCATGTGTTGCCTTCACCCTCCTAGCTTGGTAGTATTGTTTGACTTAGGGAGAGGTAGCTAGCAGGCGAGACTAGCAAAGGCAAAATACAGGAGAAAAGAAAAAACGAACTGCTAAATATCGATGCTCCAGTGGATTCCGATAATTTTGTGGGAACTCAGTACCACTGGACGTGATCAGCCAACTGTAATACATTGGTCAAGCCCTGCTGTCTGGAGAGCATGTTATTTCTAGGGATGCATTGATACCGAAACTGCTATCGGGTATTGACCTGATACCTTGCTCATTTACCCTCACTCATAAAAATTCACTGATACCAACATAACGATACCAGCTGATACCATTTGACGTAAGCTGCGTAAGCGTGTACGCTGCTGTGCTCATGAACAAATGCAGTGAAGAAGGCTCTGCTCACACAGAGAAGTGTTACTGACTCCATGACAGCTGGACACAAAGTTGTCAGTCACTTTAAACAATAGGAAACAGCGTTAATTAAAACTGCTCAGATGAACATGTGACTATGTAAATCATGCATTTTGTCTATGTACAATGGTCTATTCAAGCGTACAGTGTGAGTCACCAAAGAACAAGATTTCTAGAATCATACAGTGGCGTTAGACCACATTATAGCCCACTATAGCTCAACCAGCCAAACAAAAGACCCCAAGAAGACATAAACAGAGCTCACATTTAGAGTTTGTGTTAGTCTCGGATGTGACTCCAGCTGTCACTGTGCTACACAGACTGTTGAAGTCCACTCTTCTCCACTGCAGCGCTTCTCAGTTCAAGGTAGCGTTAAATAATATAACGTAGCTAGTTGGGGGCAGTCGTGGGCTGGAGGTTAGGGAACCAGCCCTGTGACCGGAAAGTTGCCGGTTTGATCCCCTTAGCCAACAGTACATGACTGAAGTGCCCTTGAGCAAGGCACCTAACCCCCAACTGCTCCCCAGGTGCTGCGGATAGGGCTGCCCCCTAGTGTGTGTGCATTCACTAGTGTGTATGTGGTGTTTCACTGCATGGATGGGTTAAATGCAGAGGTGAAATTTCCCTGTTGTGGGACTAATAAGGGTCTCTTAATGCACTTCATTAAAAATCAGCTAGATTTAATGATTTAACTGTTAAGGTACATTGCTCTCATTTACACTAACAGCTACTCAATTCTAAGTAGGTTACTCAGTGTGGTGTCATATGTACTCGTACTCAGTCTGAAAAAACTGATTGATGCATCGTTATTTCCGATTAAATGCGTTCATCTTGGAGAAAATTACCTTTCAGTGACCACCTATAAGTACCTGCACATTAATTTTAATAGCCGCCTGTGTTGTGCAGTGTCAGCTAACTCACACCCACAGCAGCAGGTTGTCAGTGACTTAAACAGCACTGTTGGGTCTGACACTATACCCAGTACGTGTGTATATGACAGAGAGTGAGAGCGCAGAGGGAATATGAGCGTATAGCTGGCTGCAGTGGACTTCTAATACCCTCTAAAACCCTTAAGAGACTAGTTGTTGTCCTATAAAGACAAGCCTGTAGTGCTGTGTGCGTATATTTGCTGCAGAGTGCACTGCACTGCCATTGGTGCTGATTACGTGGCAAGTAGTAATGAGCTCCCCAGGACTTTAGAAAGCTTTCTGAAATCACCATCATCTTTGTGAAATTCTCTCTCTCTCTCTCTCTCTCTCTCTCTCACATGCTCTCTCTTTCCTCTTCCTTCACTGTGCTTGCTTGGCCCTTGTTTGACTCAAACTCTTAATAAAAGGCTGTTCAGAAACTCCAGTGTTACATAAACAAGAACACACAATCTACACTAAATACCGTAACTCGAGGACAAACACAAGCGCTTGTTCCATGAACACGTTTATTTCTGTATGGAAATAGCGTGCTGTTACTTCAAAGTGCATGGCAGTCTTGCAGTTTATTCTTCATCAAATCACTTACACATGCTTTTGGGAAACAGAGAGCATATATTTAGGAAGTCTGGGCCAAATTACATTTTAAAGGCTTCAGATACTCGTTGGTATTTCCAAACAAGTACACTAATGCTCGTTTTCAAAACCGCCCTTAAAAACAATGGTACAGTGAGGTGAGAAGTAATCAGACACAATGTCATGATGTCTTTAGACTTTGTACTTATATATATGAACAACAGAAATCATAACAAAGAATAAACAGACACTTTAAAAAAGGGGGAAAAGCTGTTAGACGCCACTTATTAATTGATGTTTTGTTGCAAAGCTATTGTTGGCAGTTGCAGTTACAGTTATTGTTGTTTTTCCTCTTGGCAAACCTTCATCAGTTCCCCAGGGCTACAAGGGTTGCTCTGATGGACTTGACCAGATTGACCTTTTTTAGAAACAAGTCTTGGTTATTTTGAGTCGTTTTTCTCTCCAGATTTA